CCACCAGTCAACAGCGCCGCCGCCAACTTCACTGTTTACTTAAACAATTTTCCAGCATCCTCTCGCCTGCATTTAGTACACTGTGCCGTGTTTATTTTCCAACAACAACCTTCTCTAGCTGCCTTTCACCTCTCTCGCTGGTTGGTCTGTCTGCCATATATAATTTGTTTACATCTTGTGGATTTTCTATATAAAATTATTCAATTACGTTGGCAACTAAGTATATCTTTTTATTGCTTTATAAGTTGCCTCTCTGCATGGGGGTTAGACGGAGGAATCACTTTGACGTTGGTTGGCTGCTTTATTTATGACTGCAAATATGTTGTTTTTTTCCTTTTCTAACAAAAACAATTGCTCGAGCTGTGTAGAGGTGCGCCACGAAGCGACGCGACAGGAAATGAGGAAATATTTATTCTATAGCAGCTATTAATTGCGTCCTCTAGAGCAGCCAGTGCCCCGCTGTCTACTCGACAGCTCCACTAAATAGCTGTAGTATGTTTGTGTTAGTGCAATTTAATTTTTTGGCTTTGGAGTTCTAGTTATTTGATGTGTGCATGTATGTATGCACATTAGACCGTACCACCTTATAAGGCAAACAAAAAAACGTTGGCTGTACACCCCTGGATCTAAAGTATTTTGGCAAGACAATTTGAAAAAAGAAATTTATTTTTGCTTGCTCGAACCTATAGGTAACCTCTTTATAGTTTCCGGTGACACCTACATTCGGTAATAAAATTGTGTTTTTTTTTAATTGCTTTACTGGAATAATCGTAATTCTTCCTTGTCAAAAGTTTATTGATTTGTGGTAAGATTTATTTTACTGGCATTAGGGTGTTAGGAACTGGCGAGCAAATACTAGAACGGCGTACTTGAGGTCAATGGACTTTGGAACAAAAAAACTTTCCACCCAATTGAACGTCGATATATAGTGTATCATAGTTACTATAAGATCCGACTCTAAATGGCGAAGATATGACGTAAAATAGAAAAAGGCAACCTCTAAAAAACTCGAAATTACCTTCGAATAGAAATACTTCTTTAGCAAAAGTTTAGTGATTTTTGGCGAGCTTTAATTTACTGACATTAGGGTGGTACGTTGGGGTGCAAGATGCTGAGATGTGATGGGTAAATAATAGCATGGCGTACTTGAGGTCAATGAAATTTGGAACAAAAAGTTGTGTCCCCAAAAGTAAGAACATGGACATATCATATTTTAAGATCCGGCTATAAATGCCGAAGACATTACAAAAATTTAAGAAAGCAACTTTTATGTGCGGCACAAAAAAAATTCTTTCGCAATCGCTGTACAAAAATACTTTAGACTCAGCGGTTTACAGCGCACTTTTCTTTTCTGATACGGTCTAATGTATGGTGTTTGAAGGGCGCGTGAAAAGCGCTAATACCTCAACTCACTGGCAAATCCGACTTCTTTCGATTCTATGTGCGTATCTATGTATGTATGTAGCTTTATTAAAGATTTCTTAATTAGACTCACATCTAGACGCTTATCGGTTTCTATAGCTTTTGTTGTATATATGTACATACATACTCACATACTCCCATCTATGCCTTAGTGCTTTTTTTTATAAGTAACCCCTCACATGTTATGTCAGAGAGTCTTTTGGTTCCTTTCACCTGTCAGCGCGTTGAGGTGTTAATAATGTCTGCAGATACGCACCTACATACGAACATCCATTCCTTAACCTACCCCAACACTTAGCACCCTCGCAAGTTTTCGTTTTCTTACTATTCAAAGCTACATAGCTTCCCGGCAAGTTTAATGAACTTCTAAGTGCCACCAGTGACGAGTGTTTTCTGCAGCCGACATTTAATTCAAATTATCTTTTTTTTATATTCATATGATGTTACAAAATATAATAATGTGTCCATGTATGATTGCGTAAATACATACACATAAACTAAATATGAGCAAATTAAATTTAATTGAATGAAATTAAACTTTTGTTGTACGAAACGTTTGAATAAGACCTGCTACATAAATTTGTGAGAACTGTTTTACTAGACTTAAATTTCTGTTGAATATTCTCTTAACTATTTTGCTCGTTTTTCCTTATTGTATACTTTTTTATTTTAAATAGGTATTTTTATAAAGTAACAACTAGACTAGTTGCGGTCAAGGGTAGATTACCGGACACCCTATACTGATCTGACTCAAAGTTACCCTGATCTAGTAAGTAAATGGACCACTAATACGGTCCTGGCTCACTACCTCATCACGGGATTCAATCAGCCTCAACGGATGCCTAGCAAGTTCAGCGAATGGACACTTTAAAATTCTGGAGGGTTTCGATTTCATCCCTGATTGCACGAATGAAATGCTTTTAAGTAGCTTTTTCTCTACACAAATTGCCAGAAGAGGTGAGGTGATTGGAGAGAGAGACCTTTATCACGGGTGGACAAAAGCTGGATGAAAGCGTTGGTTGGAGTCTTCTTCCATGAGCTCTCCATCCACAGCAGGCTTACGCTTCCATACTGCTAGGGCTGACGTATGCCATGCCAACTCAGCGAATGTAGGTCGAAAGCCAGGACATTTGCAATTGCAAGGGGCTTTTTGCCCATAGCGATGCCACAACTTTTGCTTCTAGTGGGGTTCTGCCACGTCAGAAGTATTTCGGAAGTTACTGCGGCAATTGCTATATTGAGCAATAAGGTCGCCCGCTTAGCGTAATGGTTTCCCGACTATTCTTAACCGTAAAAGAAGCAGTTCCTTACTTCAGAAATGGATCTGTCTACTCTAAAAACGAAACTGCTATCAGAGCACTATAGCGGAATACCACCTCCCCGCAGGTGGCTACGGAATGCAGAAACTCCTGTATGCGTTAACCGATATGATTTCTTAATTTTGGGATGGGTTTCCGGGCATTAGGATAACACCGGCTGCGGAAAAGCCTGCAAAGGAAGGGGCATATTGAGGGGGTCTAAAACAATCTATTCTAAAAAAGTGTCTTAATACCGTACCAGCGAATAAGAAACAGGTATGGAACCCATTGTTGAGTTGCAAGGTAGATGTGGACTAGGTTCGATGGAAATATATGTATATCTAACACCGTGCGACAAAAGCAAACAATTTCAAAACACACGAAAGAATCGATATATGTACTCACGAAACTATGGGACAAATATAGTAAAACTGCGTTTTTAATTTTTCACTCAGGCGTCAGGATTTTTTTTCTTCAAAGGACTTGGAAATTTAAATATAAAGAAAACAAGTAAAAAAGTCTAAGTTCGGGCGGAGCCGAACATTAAATACCCGACGCAAGTATTAAATATATGTTTTTTCACCTTTCCGAAACCTTCCGCTAGATGGTAAGCCGGGGTGTATCAATTTTGAGTAAATTAGCGTCCTTCAATTTCGAAATATTGAAGTTTCAAGCATTTCTGAAATTTACCGTTATATGAGAAGCGGCCGTTATTTTAGTCCGATT